TTGTTTTCCTCGTAGATACCTGTTTGTGTTGCAGCTGAAACAGGACGTCCTCAGTGGAAAGTAAGTAATTTTTAAATTTTTTTCTACTGTAGTCAATCTAATCCATGAAGAGGAAAGAAACAAGTTTTTTTTTAAAAAACATTTATTAATTTTGGATCAATTTCATATGTATATATATTATTTATTTTAGATTTCTGTTTTTCTTCATCTTGTGTCCAGCATTTTCCAGGTGTTGTTGGAAAATGTTGTTGCATTTTCCAACAACATCAGGCTCGCATTTTCCAGGCGAGCCTGATGTTGTTGTTAACTGAACTGCTGTGTTTTGCAATGACAATTACAGACGTTTCCTAATCCATGAGGTTTCTGTAGACGAGGTGTTGTCACGGCAGTGGTGTATTTTGTTGGTCTATTTCTTTAGTCTTTCAAACAGTTGTAAAATACTGTGGGTACGCAGTACTGTGATGGAGGCTTTTCAAAAACTTGAAAGATGAATATAAATAATTAGTTTGATGACATTTTCCTTGACATCTTTTTACCATTTTCCATTCCAGGTTAGAATGTGAGTTTGACACAGCGGTGGAGTTGGCCGCCTTCTCACTACAGGGTAAGACGCCGCAGGTACACCGTGGTTTTAGTCATTCATTAACACGAGTCCTTTTAATGACTCACTTGTGGGCGTGTCCAAAATTACAGAACGGTCTGAAGTGTGAGACGAGTGACCGTTTCATCATCATCATCATGCAGTAACAATACATTAACAATTCAGAGCAGACATTGAATTTTAACCAAACTTGAATGGAGCTTTGGTTCAGGTCCTGATCTGGGTCCATCAGAATTTCTTCCTTTTCCAAAACCAAAAAAATATTTTTTAAAGAGATCCTTTTTTAGTCCTTAGCCAGACAAACATAGGGGTCGTGACCTGGTTTCAGTCTACAGAAGAAATGTTTCCAACTGTAGCCATTATTCAATAAAGAGAACAGTTTATTTATTTTATATTTTTCACCTGAAAGTTTCAGCGAAACAAAGGCTCAGTCAGTTGGGTTTTATTGTCTCTCTCCCTCTCTCTCTTTCTCTCTCACCCACACACTGGTTTTGTTGTTTTGTGAGCACTTCATACGACTTAGTGCATTCTCTCCCCCCAGTTACAAACAAATGATTCTGATCCAAAATAAATCTCCAAACTCAAAATTCCAATCTGCAAAATGTCCCCAGAAAGACGGTGTCCAGTTTTTTCCCCCCAACGAATGTCCCCACATTTAGTTTGGGGTAAATGCCAGCTCATTAGTGCCCCCTCCTCTGCAGAGGCCCCATAATCCACTTCCCCTCCAACTTCTCTCTCTCTTTTTTTTTCTTTTTACACTAGTTAGGTTTTTCTTCTTTGTTTTCCTTTTTACAAACATGTGGCTCAGGTCCTGGGACAGGGACAGGGACAGGTACAGGGACAGGATGAACTGATCTTTCCTCCTCTGTAATCTGAAACGGCTCAGAACGTGATTAGCCTTGAGTGAAGAGCTGCCATCCCATCATTTTTCTCTTCAAATTCTAATCTTCACACTGCAGTGTTGGAGATAAGCTCTTTCATTTTGTCCTGTTCTCGTTCTTATCAGAGAAATGACTGGTGTTTTCTTTCCTGCCACAGACTTCTGTTCTCCTGGTTTTTTGTTTTGTTTTTGTGCCTGATAAAATCAGTGACCTTTTGACACGTCAGTTCCTGACGTTAACACAAAGCTTAGGTACCGTGTCACAGACGGAGAGCTTTTTTTTATTTTTTTCTCCATTGTGTTCATAAGATTTTCCATTACCTTCCACTGCTTTATTAGGCACCGCATCTGTGGTCGGTCATGTTCATGAGTTGAGAGTAAATATGCAGATGAATAGCGTCAAGTTTTACATTTTAAAATAAAAATCAACTTCATTCAACTATGTGGTTCCCCTGGGAGTTGAACCCAGCGCTTTCTTCACACTAGGCAGGCGTGCTAACCACTTATTCCATGCGCGTGATGTTAAGTGACGGCCTGCAGTCCAGATTCATCTGTTGTTAAAAATGTCATGTGACCCGTCGGCACCAGTCCTTAAACTGATTGGTTTGTTTGTCCGTTTGTTTTTTTTCAGCTGAGCTCGGAGACTGTGACCCGTTAGACCATAATCTGGACCTGGTCACAGAGTTCCGCTTCGTCCCCAACCAAACAGAAGATATGGAGCTGGCGATATACAACACATGGAAGGACTGCAGGTGAGGGTTTTACTGCAGTACAAGTACTACAGTACTGACTGCTGTACAAGTACAAGGACAAACGTCCCTTCATTTCTCATCAGATTGAACAGATTCAGTGACTTTTGTTAATGAAAATCCTTCGTAAATTTAACTGTTGCCTTTCTCTCCTGCAGGGGTCAGACTCCGGCTCAAGCAGAGATTAACTACCTGAACAAAGCCAAGTGGCTTGAAATGTACGGGGTGGACATGCACATGGTCCAGGTAACTGCACCGTCCACTAGCCTTAGCTTGATTGCTAATGAGTTAGACCTTCCAACTTTGTTAATTTATTACAGAAAGAGAGGAATTTTCAACATTGTGTTATTTATTATATATATATATATTTGTATATACATATATGTGTTTGTGTGTATATATAGTGTATGTGTATATTTATATATTGTCTTCATTTTGATAATATTTCTGTCGACTTCCTGTCTGCATCCGCCCTGCAGGCCAGAGACGGTAACGAGTATAGTCTGGGTCTGACGCCCACTGGAGTTCTGGTGTTTGAAGGACAGACAAAGATCGGACTCTTCTTCTGGTAGGGATTTGTAATTACGTTATTTTGAGATGGAATTTTGAATGTAACCCTTTTGTCAGAGAGAAAACGCTGTCAAAGTTCTGAGGGTGACAGCGTTCGACTTCATGACGTGTCGGTCAGACAGACGAGCAGCTGGAGTCAGAGATTTATTTCAACAAAAATGAACTACTGAGCAGCACAGGAAATGACTTCTGCCTGGAGCCACTGGACTCTTTTACCTCTCCCTCACACAGTTATTGTTGCTGTACTTACTGGACAATATTTTTTGCAGTATTCTGGTCGATGTTCTTGACACCTCGGGGGCCGGACCCTCAAATAACATGAAATGAAGATTGAATTTTTATCTAAGAATTATTATTTGATGTTTATTTTGGAGTCCAGTCATGGGCCAGAGTGGACTTTTCAGTGGGCTTGATTTGGCCCACAGGCCGCCTGTTGATGACCACTGCTTTATCTGCTCAATGTTAACACAGTATTCTATTTTTTTCTGATATATTTACATTTTGTAATGGTTGTTTTTGTTTGTTTCAGGCCCAAAATCACTCGACTAGATTTCAAGAAGAGCAAACTAACACTGGTGGTTGTGGAGGATGACGACCAGGTGTGTAGACACACCCGCACACACACACATGCACACACCAACCAACCAACCAACCCTGGAATCTAGAAAATGTGTCCTCCATATTTTGTCCTTTGGACCCACCTGTAACACAGAACATTCAATACTGATGTAGTATTTTTTTTTTTTTAACCAAAAGTAAAACTAACATCAAGACTTTGCCTCCTTGGCAACAAAGAATCCTTTTATATAAAATGGACTGACCCTTTAAATCAGTTGGTTCTGCAGTGAAAAGGAAAACAAGACTTGATTCTTTGTTAGTACCCAGAGGCTGAATATGAGAAAAGAATGAGAAACTTTATGCTCATCCTGGAGGTTTAATAAAGAGCAGGTTAATAAAGAAGCCTGCCCCCTCTGGTATTCCTGGTATGCACTGTTCTCTTACACACACACACACACACAACGTTCAAGCCTCAGCATTGTTGTCTGGTGCAGTTATGTCCATCTTTTTTTTTCATGTTGTGACAGGAAATTACAGTATATAATGTACAGTATTTGAATTCAAATATATACGATTAGACACGGTTTTTATACGATACCTGTCTCTCTCAAACTTACCCTGGTTTTTTGGAGTTGTGAGGGCTTCACATAGTCACACCTGTATATATTTGTATATGTACGAATATGTGTATATATATGTATATGTGTATATATGTATGTATATGTATATATGGGTATATGTATATATGTACAGTATATATGTATATGTATGCAGTATGTATATATGTGTATATATATTATGCATATCTGTCTCTGTCTATAACCTGATTCATATTCAAAAGTGTCCGCACCACAAAAGTATTTTTTCCAACATGTCCCCACAAGAATAGATAAACTAATATATAAAATACGCTTGACATGTAATGTAAAAATTATAAACGGGGGGGCAGCGGACATTTTTTTTGCCCGTAGACTTAACATGACTCACTTTCATCACATGGACCTTATTTTTGCGGCACGTTCTCATCTGACAAACCTTCTCTCAGGGGAAGGAGCAGGAGCACACGTTTGTCTTCAGGATGGATCATCCCAAGGCCTGTAAGCACCTGTGGAAGTGTGCGGTGGAGCACCACGCGTTCTTCAGGCTGAGGGGACCTGTGCAGAAGAACTCAGCACGCTCCGGATTCATCCGCATGGGATCACGCTTCAGATACAGGTGAGTGACAGAGATATATATAAACTGATACCGATACTGTATACTGTATATACTGTATATACTGATACCACTGTATCAGTATGAGATGAATTAAATGAGCTGCAATGCTGCCATCTAGTGTTACATCTACATCATTTGGCGAAACACAGACATAGCGTTACCAGATTTTAGGGCGCACATCATTTGGTGAAACACAGACATCGTGTTATCAGAGAAAAAAACCAATAATGATTCTTACAGATACATACAGTTACATAATATGGTACTATGGGGCGGCCGATATTATCAAACCAATGTTTTTGTTTCATTTATTTATTCAGAGTTGTTTTTTTTTCTTCTGTGTGTGTGGTCTGATCTTTAAACTGCGGCTCAGCGTCAACAGACTGCAGCAGTGAACACGTCTCTTCTCTTGTGTGTTTAAACTTTATCTGTTTGGATAAGAATTGGCAGGATTTAACCGAGAGGTTACAGGGCTGGTTGTTAACAGGAAGTTATTACGCGAGTAGGTCGAGGGTTCAGCGGGAGGTCGTCACACGGTGTTCTGTGTTTGAACTGATTGGGTTAAAAAAAACATAAACAAACATAACAACCCTACACTCTACAAATATTTATGCAGGATTGGAATTTTATATATATTTTTTTTTCATGTTTTCTGTTGACCTGGTACCAGTGGAAAGACGGAGTACCAGACCACCAAGGCCAACAAAGCCCGGCGCTCTGCCACCTTTGAGAGAAGGCCCAGTCGACGCTACTCCAGGAGAACCATGCAGAACAGAGGTGAGGTCAACCTTAACGCACATCAACGACAGTTCACCAAGATATTTAATTTGAGTCAGAAAACTATATTAAAGAATCTGGACATGAAAACACACGTTAACATGTCAAAACTAAGAAGTTCTCTGTAAAAACCACTATCTGTTCTCTGTGTTTTTTCAGGACCATTTCATCCACAAGAGTGAGTAAAATTTCTGCTTCACTTTTTTTTTTCTCACTTTTGTGAGGGAGGGGTGGCACACAAACAAAGTGAACGTGGAGCTCACAAATCGAGGAGAGAAGAGTCTGAGAGTCTTCTTACATAGAGAGAATGGCAACAAATCACTTGTTTCTGTTTTATTTATTTTCTACATTTTTTAAGAGAAGAAGTCGTCGTCATTGTACAACTACAAACACAGATGCACAGCTAACTCCAGCTATTTTAGCTACAGCTAGCTCTCTGTCAGTGAATGTTACACACACGGTGTCACTCCGGTAGGCTGTCATGTGACCTGATGACTCGAAGCAGTGTGAAGACTGACATTCCTTTCATCACAGTGGACATCATTTTACCCTTTACACTTCTTGCTGATCAGTACACTTTCTTGCTCTGTTTTACACTAAAATATTTCTAAATCTAATATCTGAATCCACTTCAGTTATATTGACTTTATTTGTCCCTCCCTCCTCAGAGTTTTCTCCTCTGGTGACGGCGTCAACTCCAAAAACAACAAGGTGAGGACAGAAGTGAAGCTCAAAGAAATGAGTTTTTTTTTTCTTCTAATTTAACTTTATTTCACCTCTGGTCCTGCACAACACCATCTTGAACTCCTGTACTGCCACCTGCAGGTGTCCGTCAGTCGCGGTGCCTGGTCCAGTATTCCTGTGGTCACGCCGTCAGCTGCCTCTGCCTTTGAATCCATGGAGATTGAGGCGCTACCCAGAAGCCCCGGAGGAGAGAAGAAGAGGTTGGTGTTCACTGGAATAGTTTGTTTTATTTCTTCATATCACACACGACACTGTGTTGAAATATTCTACAATGAAAGTCGGACCAAATTAGGGCTGTCAGAATTTCCTCTTAACCACAATAGTCCATTTCCTAAATTTATTTTTTTAATAAATTGAATATATTATTTTTTCAACTTAAGCTTTTTTTTTCACTTCCTTTCACCAAAGCACTTTCAGATTTTAATCCCATCTCAGATCCTACCATATGTTTTGTGGAGTAGTAAATAAGTTCAGTTAAGCAAGCTAAATTTTGAGTTTTACTTCTGGATATTTTCGTGACATTTTTCCATCTTAAAATTTACAGGCAGATTAAAAACAGGTGAGAAGTCCGTCTGTTGTCGTCTGGTCATTGATTTGTATTTAGGAACGTTGATCTATCACGGTTAATTGTGATTGATTGCGCTCACAATTAATTAAATTTTTTTTTAAATCATATTATTTCAGACAGAGGTTTGAGAATGGGATTCATTTAGTTTTTTTTATTTTCATTGCTCTGTGTTTCCTTTATTGACTATATCATATCATGCATTTCATTTTTTTTTTTTTTTGTCGACCCTGTGAATACATATAAATGTTGACTATATCATATCATGCATTTCATTATTTATTTTTTTCTGTCGACCCTGTGAATACATATAAATTTGCAGTTTGACAGTGTAAAACGGTTGAACCCTGTAAAAAAACCCCAGACACCGTGTTTAACCATCTGCTCAGTCACGAACCTGCGACCGTGTGTTTTCCAGTATTAACGGTAACTGAGGCCACAGTTCTGGTCCCGGCGCTCAGGTAGGTACCGTGACTCTGGGCTTGAACTAATCAGTTGCTGTGCAGTGGTGGGCTTGGTGGTAGCTCCGTGCCTGACGGTAGTTGTCTGATCTGATTCTGTCTGTTCATGATCGGCATGAGATGTCAACCTAATCAGTGCAGGAAACGATTCAGCGACGCTGCGGCCATCGAACCTGCATGTCTGGTGTTGAGGTTCTGCGATGTGGCTTGGTTTCAGCTTTGGATCTGTTCTGTTCTGCTCAGACTTCTATTTGGTTGGAAATGTCTTTTTTTGTTTTGTTTTTTTTCCAGTCCTCTTATGTCTGTGCTCTTAACCAGCTGTGCTTTTCTGAAATGTTAAAGAAGATGGAGTTGAACGTTTGTTTGATCCATCTATTAGTTTAAATGACTCTTCAGGTCGTAGTAGTTTCCTGGTCCTAGTCCAGTGTGTTCAGGTTTCACCATCAACGTCCTGGGGATCAAATGCTTTCACGTTGACAGGATCCGTTGGTCTGTTCTATCAGAACCAGACGTTTCCAGACGACCTGTGATTTAATATCATGTCTTCTTTTATTATCAACACACTGGACACAGTTGAGATTTAACAAGTCTCTTTTAACACTTCAGAGAAACTCTCCTTTCTCCTGCTCCTCCTGCTGCTCCTGCTGCTCCTTCTCTCTGTCTGGCCTTTAGTTCAGTTTTCCTGCAAGTTTTCACTGATTCGTTTAATTACTGTCTGTTGGTCATTTTTTATTATCTTTGAATCAATTAAGTGAGTTTCAAAATATGTATATAAATGAATATATATACATACATATAGTTTATATACAGTCAGAGACGCTGAGATTAAATGAATCAAATGAATATAAGCATGTCTCAGTTGAACTAATTGGGCGTTTGTTACCTAATTATCAGTGATGATTGCACTAACACAGCAGATAATGATGTGAAATGGCTGTTTATGAACAAAAACAACTGTGATGTTTTTTTTATGTGCCTGTACTTGGTGACGTCATCACCTGTTTCACTTTTTCCCTGCTTCTCATTCCTTCATCGTTCATTCTTTGCTGAGTTATGTTTTTAAAAACGAAAGCAAATGAATTTCACTTTATCACAGCAGTTCACCTGCTAACTGTGTAGTAATGGCCACAGTTAACAGAGAGATGTTAAAGTAGAGCAGCTCAGTTCTACAGCATTCAGCTGAACCAACTAACAGCTGAACTAACTCTGAAGACAACATTATATTTATTTATTTACTTATTATTCATTTTTTTGATTATCTAATTATACATTATATTTAGCAAGTGAGATTAAACTAAATGAGTTATGTAACGACCCTAAATCAGAGTCAGATTCCCCAGCTTTCCACTAGAGGGAGCCCACATGTACCTAGTATGTTTACCATAGTTTGGGAACCACTGTTGTTGTGGTCAAAAATGAACCGATGATGTCATACAGAAACAGACACACAGGGAACAAAACGACCCAGGTAGTAAAAAAAAAAGTTAGTAGTTAGGGTTAGTACTCGGTACAGACCTAGAACAGATGTTGCTACAGCCTCAGATTCTTAGCCCCTCCCACTTCACCTCTGTTTGCCTCCCTTATCTGTTTCTTCCTCACCCATTTCCATATAATCTCATCCACCACCCTCCCCACCCCCCCCCTTTTTTTTCTAACTCCCCCCTCTTTTTTTTTTTTTTTTTTTTTTTTTTTTTTTTGATGCAGTGTCTCCCTCTGGCTTTTTCCTGCCTGCAAATGCTTTATAATGCCAAGGCTACAGCAGCAGCTGCCTGCCCCGGTTTCACACATGCAGATGTAGTTTTTTTTTT